TTCATAACTTGAGGGCTGAAAAGGATCCGACTCCAACGCCTTCCCTGGCCGCAAATCCTGAGGTCCTCAATAACAGAGCCCTTCTGCAAGGTCTAGGGTTTATGGTAGGGGTTTAGGGCCCAATGGAATCCAACGCCCGACATGTACCGCAAAGCATCTCGGCCGGAAATCTTAAATCACGAGGCCTGAAGCCCTGGTTGCCGGTGGGGTCCATGTTCGATCCACTCTTGGTAGAGCAGAGTGGAGATGTGACTGCAATCAGGGCTTAAAGCCTAAACCCTAAACCCCATAAACCCCACACCCCAAACCGTGGCTAGGGCCACCACCACGCCGGCCGCGACTACCACGACGACAGGGGGCACCACCATGTCCAATCCCTTTCTGGGCGCCTCGCTCTTGCTTGGCGCTGCTTCGGGTTTTTCCACGGCTGGGTTCCAGGTTCAGTGTTTGTGCCTGGTCGGTGCGGGTTGAGGGTTTTCTTATGTACTTCTTGGCCGAATCCTATAGTCTTGGGAGCCCTCCTCCTTGCTCTGCAGCTGCAGAACGGGCTCATTCCGGGAATTCACCCCACCCACGCCGCAAATCCTGGGCGGGTTCAGGTTTGGAACAGATCTAGAGCGTCGGGCATTCCTAAAGGGTTTGCTAATCTGCAGCAGAATGGAAGCTGAGGCGACGAGTTCCAAGACTTGGACTTTGGTTTGGGACGGAGGCAGAAGAGGGCTTCTGGTTTTGGGGTTTTAGGGTATAGGGCTTAGAGGGTTTGATGATGGGGGTTCGGGGGTTATAGGGCTTATGGGCTGTAATTATGCAGCTTAGGGTATATGGCTCATGGGGTTTCATTAGGGGGTTCAGGGTTTACCGTCTAGGGTTTCCGGCCTCAAAGCCTGCTGCTTTAGGATTCAAAACCTCGAGTTCTTTTGCGGAATGTAGGTGCCAATAATGCCCATTTTGGGGTTTCACGTACTGTACCCCAAAACCCTAGTCTAATTGTGAAGGCCCCTATGCATGTATCCGATATCAGGGCTTTGGGGAAACCTCCTATGCATCGGATGCATCGGTTACCTCCAGCGGCGTCTAATCGTGTTTCGGTATGCTAGTCCTTGGCTACGATGGCGTGGGTGCGGGTGGAGGAGTCCTAAACCCTGCTGGTAAGCCACAAACCTCAAACCCGAGACTCTGTGCGAAACACCTCTAACCCTAAACGTTTGGCGTTTGGGGTTTACAGGCCTTGTTGTCAGGCTCTTATCCGACAGGGGCTTCAATAGTTTTATGCTATTCCTTGAGGCTTCCTTGCCAGTGTAGTTGTAGTTTTGGATTCACCAAAGCCTCTAAAACCCGACTTTGGTTATGGAGGTCCGTATAACCGTAGTACCCCAAGTACCCGCACTACCGTGGGTTGCTATCGTGTTCCATAGGATTGGCAAGTTGGAACTCATGCTACAGAGTTCAGGAGGCTTACGCCTCCGCGTGGTTTAGGGTTCAGGGTTTAGGGAGATCAACCTCAGAGGCGTCGTGTTTAGGGCGCTTGGGCTTTGATTTTATTTCTGACTTCGAAATCCCCAAATCGAAAGTCTATTGAGCCGGGGTGGGCGACATGACAAAAGAGTGTCGAGCCACGTCAACCTCCAGTGATGGGCGCTGCTTTTCGAAGCCTCCAAAATGGGAGTTTCCGAGAATAGGGGACCCAAACATAGTAGCCTAAACAGTAGGATCCTTTTTATCAGGACCCCAAAATAAGGTACCCCTAATTGTCGGAAACTCCCAAATCCTGCACCGTACACCCTAAAATTTCGAGACCCTCAGACCCTGAATGCCTGGAGGCCGAAACCCTGCCTACGCCCCAAGGCCCGATCTAGGACCATCCCAAAACCCGAAAGCTCCGAACCAAGGAGCCTCCTAAAGATAAAGTAGGGGCCTAAATAATCACAATTACAAACACCATTTTGGAGATTCCTTGTCATAATTTATAAGTATAGTATAATGGACCCCCCAAAGCCTACTTTAAGTATGAAGGCCCCTGCACTATAGAACCATTTTCAAAGAACCCTTTAAAGGGAACACTAATCTGATTATTAAGGCGCTTAAATGGGTAGTTGTCAAATTTTGGGGTCCTTTTTTGGGGTACCCTAAATATTAGGTGCCGTAAATTATAAAAACGAGGACCCAAAAAGGGACCATAATCTTGACAACCACCCATGTAGGCATGATATTTTGGGAGTTTCCAAAACTAGGGGACCCACATAATCGTACCCTAAATAAGGACCCCGACAGCCCCAAAGCCCCCCAAATGAATTCCAGGCTTGCCAGCCCAGATCAGGTGGTCCGGGCCCCGGAGATTGAAGAGGCCACTAAAGCCCCAAAGCCCCTAATCATCCAAACCCTAAACTCCTAAACCCCAAACCTTTATAGAATCCTTTATAGAACCCTTAAAGGAACCCTTTATAAACAAACACCTAAACCCTAAACCCCGAACCCTTATAGAATCCTTTATAGAACCCTT